TCAAGCTATTCTCCTGTTTCAGCCTCTCAAGTAACTGGGATTACAGGTATGCACCAGCATGCCCTGCTAATTTTTATATATTCTTTTTGAAGTAGAGATGGAGTTTTACCATGTTGGCCAGGGTGGTCTAGAACTCCTGACCTCAAGTGATCTGCCTACCTTGACCTCCTAAAGTCCTGGGATTACAGGCATGAGCCACTGCACCAGGCCTATTCCTTTACTTTCTTAATAAACTTGCTTTCACTTTATAGATTTGCCCAAATTCTTTCTTGTGTGAGATCCAAGAACCCTCTCTTGGGGTCTGGATCAGGACCCCTTTCTGGTAACATAGTAGTCTGTAGATCTCTCAGGTATGGGCGATTTGCTGCACCTTGCAACTATCCCCATCACAGCACTTGGAGTAATACTTTTTTTTTACATTGTAGAAGCAGCATATATCACATTTGGGAATATTTCTCCAATTCATTTCACCATTCCTGGCTATGTTGTTTTTTTAGTTTAGGTTTAGTGAAAATATTGCTTTACAGGTTTCTGATTCTGCCTATTACTAGTTGTGTAATGTTGATTAAGTTATTGTAACATCTCTGAATTTCAGTTCTAAAATAGTGGAGATAATAAGTATGATTATTAAATGAGAAATGTTTCATGGAAATTATTTCATGCAAGTACTTTAGGTTATCACAAATTATTTGATTATCTGGTTTTATTTCTACTAACAGAGCAAAAGATGATAGAATTAAAAAAATTTTTTTTACCCTGAAACTCTCATAAACTAGGATCAGGAATGTGTGCTATAACAGAGGAATAAGTATTAACTAATGTTTGGTTATGACTTTTTAGAAGGCTAACAGCCATAGCAGAGCTTTCTGTGCACTACAGGCTGGTACTACCACTTTATTAAGGTTTTAATTCTCCATAGATATTGCTGTAGGTTCTAAGAGCCACCAAATAAACCATTCATGAAGCTATCTAGGGTTAATTACTCAAAAGTCATCAAGCCTATAGCTTTGACCTTCAATTGACTGTAAAGGTCATACGAAAGAAACTTTGACCTTCAATTGACTGTGAAGGTCATATGAAAGAAACTCCGAGTGGAAAAAGGGAAAACTCTCCACTTGAATCTTTATAAATAAGCATTACAGGATGAACTCAAGTTATTCCAAAGAATGACTAAAACAGTGCCACTGTGGATTGAGTTTTCCCCCACAATGGGATGACACTTATTTATTTGTTTTGTCATTAGGTCTGGATCTCCCTATGTTTTCTGAGTATTTTGAAAAACCTAAAAAACATTTCAGAAAACACTTTCATTTATTTGAAACTAAGAAGAATAAAACTAGAGACACATTAAATGCAACCATGATTAACAGAGTACCATAAAAGTTTTATCTGGAATTCAGGGAAATTTATTAAACAAAGTTTTCACTACTACCTTGTTTTAAAAATATAGCTTAACTCACTTCTTTCCTTTTCAATTACAGATTTCGAGTACAGATTGCTCTGGGAGTTGATTTCTGTAAGCTGAACCTGATAAGTCACTTGTCTTGGCAGATTTTACAAGGAAACAAAAACCCACTCAAAAAACAAAAGGCTATCTAGGTTTGGAGTAAGACAGTTCAGCTGTATCTGCCAGGAAAGCTCTTTTTTTCCAGATCACAACCCAGTTTTTAACATTATTAGATCCAAGTTTGTTTTCTATGAATTTCTGTGTTTTATTACATGAATAATAACATAGATAGTTTCTTATTTGGTAGATAAATCAACCCTGAAGGACTGCTTAGAGTTGAACAATCATATTATCTGACTGTCTTTCAGCCTCTGTTAAAGTCCAGAATGAAATTTTATGTGACAAAATAGTTTCTGAAACCCAGTGTACTACTTAAAAAACCTTCATGGTTTACTCTATTCTTTCCAAAATACCAAAGTGGCTTAGACCATTATATATATATATCTATTTATATAGCAAAAGTATTTATGCTATGCACATGGAAGATACATAGATTTACAGAATTACAGTATTACAATGTTTTGTTTGACCACTGAGTCTAACTCCTAAATTTTATAAATGGGGAAACTTAAGTCTCCAGAGGCTCAGAGATTCATTCAAAGTCAGAAAGATAGTTAATGGCATCGCCAAACCCTAAAGACCTGAGTCTGCTGATCTAGTTTTGTCTCAATATCATCATTCATGTGAGGAAAGATTAAATAAATTTTTGATGACCTGTTTCTTATTTAAATGAAAAGAGAGAGAGTTAAAGGGATATATTTAGAAGACAGTAAAATCCTTTTATGGTATCTCTTTAGAATTAACTGCTACAGGCCGGGCACGGTGGCTCAACCTGTAATCCCAGCACTTTGGGAAGCTGAGGCGGGTGGATCGCGAGGTCAAGAGATCAAGACCATCCTGGTCAACATGGTGAAACCCCGTCTCTACTAAAAATACAAAAAATTAGCTGGGCGTGGTGGCGCGTGCCTGTAATTCCAGCTACTCAGGAGGCTGAGGCAGGAGAATTGCCTGAACCCAGGAGGCAGAGGTTGCGGTGAGCCAAGATCGCGCCATTGCACTCCAGCCTGGGTAACAAGAGCGAAACTCCGTCTCAAAAAAAAAAAAAAAAAAAAAAAAAAAAAAAAAAAAAAAAGAATTAACTGCTACATACTAAGGTATAGTTTTTTTAAATATAGCAAAAGAAATTAACTAATTTGTGTTACTGGTACCTATAGCATTTGTTAATAATGTTTGGGCATATCTTCTGTCTGCTATATTGGAGAGTTAAAATATCCACAATGGATTTAAGCCAGCCTGCCAAAGCAGAAGTGGCAAAGGGATTGGAACTCTGGTCAGTCTGGTTCCCAAGACCATTTTCTTTACTGTATAAAGAGCTGTATAGCCGGGCACGGTGGCTCAAGCCTGTAATCCCAGCACTCTTGGGAGGCCGAGGCGGGTGGATCACGAGGTCGAGAGATCGAGACCATCCTGGTCAACATGGTGAAACCCCGTCTCTACTAAAAATACAAAAAACTAGCTGGGCGTGGTGGCGCGTGCCTGTAATCCCAGCTACTCAGGAAGCTGAGGCAGGAGAATTGCCTGAACCCAGGAGGCGGAGGTTGCGGTGAGCCGAGATCACGCCATTGCACTCCAGCCTGAGTAACAAGAGCGAAACTCCGTCTCAAAAAAAAAAAAAAAAAAAAAAAAAAAGAGCTGTATATCAGCTCCCTCTCATTGGGCATATTGTTGTCAGGCTAATTTGCATATTATTTTTAGATTAATCTTGTTCACATATCATCTTTATCATTTTGTTATCACAATCAAAATCTTTCAATAGTTACTGTTTCCATGTCAAGTCTAAACTCATCTGCCTGGCTCTCAGGTACGTTATACCTACTTTTACCTACTACTTTTACCACTCAATAATGCCTCCTACTCTCCAGTCATTCCTATTACATATAAGTATGTTCGAATTCAAATACTAAACTTATTGAGGGCTAGTTACAATACTACTTTAGGTATTCTATAAATTTCTGTTGAGGATAAAAAGCTTAGTTTGAATCAGAGATCCTGCCTTAACTAAAACTTGAAAGTTACTTATAGCCATGAGAATAGTTTTAGATCATATTTTCAGCTATCATTACAAACATTAATTTAAACTTTAAGAACATATGTGGTGGGGGAAAATGTTTGACTCTGCCTACTAATATTTGCTGAAGTCTCAGAAAGTATCAACATCATTATTCTCTTTCACTTTTACTTCTTGTTTGGTAGAAAAACCCACAGTCCTCCATTTTGTCCCTCACTTCCTGGAGTCCGCCTGCAGACCCTATTCTGCCTGGTAGCGCAGGGCGACCAATCACTGCTCAGCCTTAACCCGCCAAACCTAAAGCCAACCCCCATCCCCAACCCCTTGGCAGTTGCAGTAGTCTGCCTAGAAACGAGACAGCCAATAAAATTCAAACCTAAGCCCGCCAAGAGGTGACCAATCCCCGTTCTGGCACGCAGAAAACCCTCCTCTGCTCTCCCTTCCACCAATCACTCTGCAACACCTCGCCTAAACAGGCCGCCGCCCCTATAAAAACCCTCTCCGGCAGCTGCTGGGTGCAGCTCAGCTCCCCTCCCGCCTGGGTTGCTCGCAGATCCCAATAAACCTGGACTCGGCTTAACAACTCCTCGCTCTCATTTGCTTTGGGAAGGGTCTCTGCGGGTCGCACACTTCTGACTGCCGAGCATGAAAACATCTGATCCCTAATCGTGGTACTTCTCTGAGAAATGTTTGTTGCTTCTAGTCACCTAAACTCCTTATTTTGATACCCAATCCTCTTCACATTCTGTTTCCAATCTAACTCTCAGGTCAAATATCTTACCACTCTCTGCACTCTGGACCACAATGAACTTTTTACCATTATTTCTAAACTACATCAGTCCCTTTCTGAGCTCTGTGCCTTTATACAAGCAATTCTAATTTTATCAGTTTGTTTTTAATCTTTTTTCTTCTGCACCTGGAAAGTTCTTATTCATTCTTCAAGACCTAGTTTAAATGTCACCTCCTTTGAGAAGTCTTTGAAGACTTCTTTAGGCAAATTAATTGCTATCCTCTATTGCATGATTGCCTTTCCAAATTAATAGTAAGCTGCAGGGCATAAGGTATATTGTCTTACTGGTTTTTATATTCTCAGCACCTGGCACTAAGTAGAAACTCATTGAATGCAGAAGGAATGAATGAATATCTTGATAATATATTAAAACAGACTTGTCTTTCCAATTAAATACAGTCATTTATAATTTTCCTTTAGGCATAAAGTAATAGATAATAATACTGAGTGTTACCTGGAAATTTTCAAGAACTGTAAAAGTACTTTGGTTTCAATAAATAAGTGATCCATAACTGCTTAAAAATGATTTTTAAAATATCTTTCTATAATCCCTTAGGCATATTAAAATTTCTACATCTTATTCTTCTCTAGAAAGAAATATTTAGAAAGCAATTTATAAAACAGAAGCAACTTACTTTATTTCGATCTTGTACAACCAGTATTTTTCTAGTACTTTCATCAAATACAGCTCCTATTCGAGGAGAAAGAAAAGACAAATGAGAAATATTAATTTCATTCACCCTACTCTCCTCCTACACTCTTTATCTGTGGTGATCAAAATTCCACCCATACTTGAAGACCTGGTTCAAATACAGGTTGAGTATTCCTTATCTAAAATGCCTGAGACGAGAAGTGTTAGATTTTTCCGGATTTTGGAATATTTTCATATACCTAATGAGGTATCTTGGGGATAGGACCCAAGTTTAAACACAAAATTCATTTATGTTTCATATATACCTTAGACACATAGCCTGAAGGCAATTTTATGCATTTTTAAATAATATTGTGCATGAAGCAAAGTTTTGACCGCATTTTGACTAGTGACTTGTCACATGCCAGGTGTGGAATTTTCCACTAGTGGCATCATGCCAGTGCTCACTTTCAGGTTTTGGAGCATTTTGGATCTTTGATTTGTAGCTTGGTGAAGCTCAACCTGTACAACCTTATCCATGAAGACTTATAAAATCTCTCCAGCAAGGAAAGTGATTTCTCAGGCATCCAGATTCTAACAACTTAGAGTACCAATGATAGTTCTAGCACACGGTAACTTAGAATCATCTGTATCACCTTCTTCACTAGATTATTCCTGATGGTACATGTGCTAAATAAATTAACCTTTCTATCCTTTAGTGTTCAGACAATTTTGTCTTAGTCCATTTGGGCTGCTATAACAAAATAACTATAGACTGCGTAGTTTATAAACAACAAACTTATTCCTCACAGTTCAGGAAGCTAGGAAGTCCAAGATCAAGATGCTGACAGATTCAGTGTCTGATAAGAGCTCATTTTTTACAGATGGTGCCTTCTAACTCTGTTCTCACATAGTGAAAGGGGCAAACAAGCTCCTGTGGGCTTCTTTCATAAGGACACTAATCCCATTCATGGGAGCTCTGCCTTCATGATCTAGTCACCTCCCAAAGGCCCCACCTCTTAATACCATCACACTGGGGATTAGGTTTCAACATATTAATTTTAGTGGGAACAAACATTCAGAGAATATATGTGCTTAAAATATTTATGGAATAAAAGAATTGACTTCTCATTTTTATTCCTTGAATCACTATGCATAGAACATAGGCTGTGCCCCTGATGATCCAAATCTCAAATATCTCAATATTCATTTCAAGACCTTTCTGAAGCCAATTAAATTTTATTATACACAGACAATTTTATAATCTACTAATATACTGCTTTGGAAGACTTCTTTGTTTTACATATGTTTTAAGTTCTAGTCTATTTCTTTTATGTATTCATCATACACATTGCACATTGTCTCTTTCTTTTTAAAAATATTTCCCTTTAGGCAATCTTGGCTCAAAAATACAAATGACACATTAGTGATTTTTATTATGATCCTTTAGATGCTATGATTTAAATGTATTTGTGTTTAAATAATGTGGTAAAAGATACTTTCTACATATTTGTTCATGCTTTCCATATTAACTGTGCTCCTACAAATAATGTATACAGACCCAGGTATATTAATTGAGTTCCTACTATGTGTCAGGCACTTTTCTAGGTGCCACAGATATAGTGATGAACAAAACAAATGAAACTCCCTATCCTATGAGGTTCATATTCTGGTATGTGCATTGGGAGGTGCCAAAACAAATAAACAAAAAATACATTACATAGAATATTAGAAGGTAATAACTGCTATATAGAGATAGAATGTAGAGAAGGAACAAATATGTGTAACATGGGGAAAAGTAATTGAAATGCAATTGAATTGAAAACACTACACTTGAGTGTTTTAAAGCAGGAAGGAAAATCACAACCAAGGTATAATTAACATTCATGTTGGCTTCTATTAGAAAATGTAAACAATAATTTAATTGGACTTTAAAAGAGGTAGAATGCCAAAGAAATGCCAAGGAAACTTATTCTTAAATTTTAATAATTTATGATTACTCAAATTGAACTTCTCCCTAATGAATTCACTGTAAACATGAGCACAGTATCACAGACAAAACCAGCACCACTAAAGCACAATTTGAGCGACCCCTGCTGGTCACAATATAAAAATTATTATTATGATTTCAGGCACTGTGCTTCAATGTACATTATTAGTTCAGGTATAAGTCACAATAATCCTGTGAGTGATATGAGTGAAATGAGTGAGCAAGCATACTCTTCTCACTGTGCACCGCTGCCCCTCCACAACACTACAGCTGCTTTCTCAGAAGGCTCACATTTCCATCCCATTCATTAAAAAAAAATTGAGTATCTACTTTATGCCAGTTGCTGCCTTTAGCCTGAGGATACAGTGGTGACCAAGATAGATAAAATAGCTTCCTTTATGGGGTTTCTATTATCGTGGGGGAGATTAAGTGACACAATATAATTAATTATATATACATGATATAATAGAATTTTAGACTGTGATAAACGCTATGAAGAAAAATAGAGCTGGATAAAAGGACAAGGAATGATGGCACTAGCGTGCAGGGAGAGGTCCATTCTAGACAGGAGGGTCAGGAGCTTTTCTGAGAAGGAGACACTTGAGCAGAAACTTTGGCTATAAAGAACTAGATAAAGAAAGTTCTGGAGAGGAGACAATAGGTGTCTAGGCTCTGAGTCAGACACAAGCTTGCTAAGTTTGAAAAGCAAAAGAAAGCCATGGCTCATGCTATTCCAGCCACATCTGCCTTGGGTAGTTTATAACAAATGTCAACTGTTTTTCTCTCCACCTCAAAACTCTGTACCCCAGCCGGGGCAACATGGCAAAACCCTATCTCTACAAAAATAAAAATAAAAAAATTAGCCTGGCATGATGCCACATGCCTGTAGTCCCAGCTACTTGGGAGATGGAGGCAGGAGGATCACTTGAGCTAGAGAGATGGAGGTTGGAATGAGCCCAGACCATGCCACTGCATTCCTGGGTGACAAAGTGAGCCCCTGCCTCAAAAAGAAAAAAAAAAAAAAAAGCAAAACAAAAAACAACTCTGCACCTTTCCAGAACAATTTCTTACATTACCTCATCCAGACCCCCAATACTGGCTTCAAATCCTAGTGAGTCTTCAATACTGGTCAAGTTCTGCACCTCCCATTCCTTGAACTGCTCTCTAAACTATAATGCACAATATATTACTTAGTTATGAACAGGTCCTTCATAGGATATAGTTTCTGCATATATCACCAATTCTGTAGTAATAACTGGGAACTCTTTTTTTTTTTTTTTTTTGGTTGAGATGGAGTTTCGCTCTTGTTACCCAGGCTGGAGTGCAATAGTGCGATCTTGGCTCACCGCAACCTCCGTCTCCTGGGTTCAAGCAATTCTCCTGCCTCAGCCTCCCAAGTAGCTGGAACTACAGGCGTGCGCCACCATGCCCAGCTAATTTTTGTATTTTTAGTAGAGATGGGATTTCACCATGTTGACCAAGATGGTCTCGATCTCTTGACCTTGTGATCCACCCGCCTCGACCTCCCAAAGTGCTGGGATTACAGGTGTGAGCCACTGCACCCAGCCATAGCTGGGAACTCTTATTAAGAGTCTGTGCCAAAAGATGATAATGATTTGTATGACTTTCCATTGAAGTGTGAGGCTGTCACTAAATTACTGAGTAGAATCTTTTGAAATAGAGCTGAACGGAAAGTTTCTGAATGTCTGCTTGCTACAGGGAAGTAAGATACGGACAGAAAAGACATCATTAGACATTGTTGAACAACTCCTTGAAAACACTGTAGGTGTAAAACTAACTTAAAAACTCTTGTAAATTATATAAAGGCAAATAAAATCATTAATTAAATAACAAATATGTTTTATTGCTTTCACTTATTAAGGTAATAGAGATTCCTTACTATTACAGTTTTTCTGGAAATCTAGGAATTTCCTTAATCCTAGTCCTTAAAGGGTAGTACTGAGACCACCACCAGCAGCAGCAGTAGCAGCAGCAAAAACAGAACAGACAGGAAAATCATGTGAATTTTCAGGCCCCACCCCAGACCTACTGAATCAGAAACTCTGGGGATAGGGTCCAGCAATCTGTTTTAAGATTCCAGGTGATTTTGATGCAAGCTGCAATTTCAGAATCCCTGTCTTACTTTGAGGGAGTTCTCTCAACTTTCCTGTGTCTCTAAAGCTAATCAGCAACTTCAAAATTCTACTCTATACTTAAATTACACTATTTTAAACAACTGTTTGGCACAATAATGTAAATGTTTTTAAGAAGTAATGTTCAAATCATTAAAAAAATTGGTTTACTTTACCTGAAATTCAACATAAAAGTTATCTTTTACTTTACAAATTTATATAATTAGTGCTAACATGTTTTATCTACAGTAAATATATTCCTTGATCCCAATTCAGTGCTACTTATTTGAGCAGTGAAGTTTAATTATTTGTGTAAAATATATTCAAACATATCCTTTGTAAAACTAAACACTAAACAGGTTCTCTGTGCTGCTGTCTACTAATTGAGGCAAACTTCATATATTTAAAAGCACTATGTAATAGTCTTATTTAAAAGGACTATGTAATAGATACCATAGTCCCCCTTGGCCAGTTTTGCTTCCTGTAGTTTCAGTTATACAAGGTCAACCATGGTCCGAAAATGTTACATCACTACTCTTGTGCTTTGGGGCCATTATTAAGGAAAATAAGGTTACATGAATTCAAGTACTGTGATAATGGGACAGCTGATCTGATAATAGGGAAGGCTACTAAGTAACTAATGGATGGCCAGCCTATAGATGGTAGATACACTGGACATAGGAATGATGCACAGCCTGGGTGGGGCAGAATAGGATGCTGAGAGATTTCATCACACTACTCAGAACAGCATGCAATTTAAAACTTAAAAATCTTTTCTGGAATTTTCCATTTAGGTCATAATGCCTGTCATTCACCTTACTTCACCTCATCATTCAGGCATTTAATTATCTCATATCATCTCAAAAAGGGTGACTACAAAACAATATTTTGAGAGAGAATACATTCACATAACTTTTATTACAGTATACTGTTATAATTATTCTAATTTATTATTAGTTACTGTTAATCTTTTACTGTCCCTAACTTATCAGTTAAACTTTATCATAAATATGTGTGATAAGAAAAAACAGGGTATATATAGGGTTTGGTACTATCTGTGGTTATAGGTACCCACTGGCGTCTTGGAACACATCCTGTGCAGATAAGGTGGAACAACTGTAATCATTTAATCAAATAACTCATCCACATGAATAAACTATTTGCTTAGCTATAACAAGCAAGGAATTGGGTGAACCTCTAAAACGTTAATTCTGGTTACCATGAGTTTGAAACTGACCTGCAACTCCTACTTGATGTGAAGCGTATCCTGGTAATCTGCTGGGCCCTTCTCCCAGCCACAGAGTCAACGTTGATGAATCCAATTCTGCATGGTGAAAACGGAAGCCCAAGGAAGCAGCAGGGGCAATAAATCGGCTTTGGAGGATGGGAATGTGCAGCCATACAGCTGTTCTACCTTCTGATTGCCATTGTTGTACTGCAACTAAATGCAGAAGATAAAAGTCTAAATAATTTCCAGAGACTAGTGGAATGAATTAAAATTCACTTCAGGGTTTCACCTCCTCCAGGAAGGCATCTTTAAGCAAAAGAGGTCCCCAAATGTCCTGTTCACATTGCTGGCACTGGAACTACCATGTTTTACCATAATGACCACCTTGTTTACATGATTTTTCCATCAGACTGAATTCCTTGAGAATAAAGTCAGTACACTGCTGACCTTTATATCCATACCACCAAAGACAATGCTTGGCATATTTTACAGTGGACAAATACATGGATTTAGACCAAATCAAATATCATTTTAATGCTGTTCCTTTTAACATTCTTAGGTTTAATCTTAGTGACAATTATGGACTTGTTTTTTCTTAAGAGTTCTCCTATAATGTTTTTGATGTATAAATTTCAAGGTAGTTAAATTTTGTTTTTAAATAATGTATGCTGGTTCTAGAAATTTTGAAAATAAAAAATACAATGAAAAAATCAAACTTCACATATTACTAGCATACAGGAATTCTAATTTTTCTTTATTATAGATAATATCGTGAATTATAGGCTTTCTCTTTGCCTTCTTTAAATTATCTTACTTTATTTCTTAAGATTGAGCCCAGCCAGCGCAAAAAGATGCAAATATCTATTTGAAACTTACTAAGTTCCAAGCACTTTATATACATTATCTCATTAAGTACACAACCATGAAAGGTATTACTACCTTACGCTTACGGGTGAAGAAATGAATAATTCAGTTTCACAGTTTTTAGAAAAACTTTTCAAATCACTTTCTCATCCATCATCTCACTTAATCTTTATAAAACTCTATAATAAAGTGTGTGTGTGTGTGTGTGTGTGTGTGTCTGTCTGTCTGTCTTTGGGGCTTGATTATATGTCTAATGGTTAATTAACTTTCTCTTCTCTTTTCCCTAGCTCTGCAGTAAGCTCCTCTCTTTTAAAGACAATGTTCCCTACCTCCTTGAAAATTGGTGTGCCTAGCACAATGACAGGCACATGGGGCCTTTAATAAAGACTTCTTGATTTGATTTAGCATGCAGTGCAGTTATAGGATCAGGTCCTTCTCACCTTGCTCTCTTTATCTGATTACATGTTTTAAAAATCGAGGTGAAGTACATAAAGTGAAGCATACAAATCTTAAGTGCACATTTGATGAGTTTTGACATATGCATACACCCACACTTTAACATTATATAACGTTTCTATCATTCCATGCATTTCGCATGTGCTCTTTCCCAGGCAATCCTTCCAATCAAATTAAAAAGCTAGTTTCTAGAAGGAATGCTATTTTTGCTGTTTTTATATCTGCACTCTGCCTTGGAGAATCCATCCACTGCCACTACTTCGACTGACACCCACATGAGGATGGCTGCCCAGTCGTGACCTCACTGAACACTAAACTTTCTGCTCTCCAGTTGTTCCCAGGTATTTCCTGTCCGCATCAAACTTCACAGAATGTGTGCAAAACTGAACTTACACCCCAAACTTATCTATTTCTGGCACCAACGCTTGAAATCTTAGAATCATTTTTAATTGCTTTCTTTTCTCTATAAGCTTTATTGCGTTTTCTTCCCCCACCTCCCATTCCCATTTCTAATCTACCCTTCAAAGTCCAGCTCACATTCCACCTCTTTGACCAGTCTTTTCCTAACCACTGCTCATGAGCTCTCCTTTATATGAATCTAAGGACTACTATGTCTGATGCATTTGCAATTCTCCAGGTTAACCCTACATTACGCACGGTGACTCAATTTGTACTAATGAAATGATTGGCTTGCCTAAAGTCAGACAGCTAGTCAGTGGCATAGCAGGAGCCAGAACCAGCGGTATTTCATTACTGATGCAGATACATTATGTGTGAAGCTAACAGTAGTTTTATCCCTCTAACTTCAGTTGTTGGTAACACAACATCAATAGTTTATGTTCTAAAAGAGTATGAATAGTTGACCTCATATTCCACTAATGAATATGGACTTCTTAGTCCATAAGGACTAACAACAGACTAAGAATAGTGGACTTTATGCGTAAATAGTTTCTCTTTATAGGCACTACCCTTCAGTTAGTTTTGTTCAACTGTAACACAGAACCAGCAGTAGTTCTTCGAGGTAGCATAGTGCAGTGAGTTAGACAGGTCTAGAGCCAGAAGTAACTTTTTCTCTATGCCTCAGTACTTTCTTTAAAATGGGAATAATACTATCTACCTCAAAGTCTTGTTAGGAGGATGAAGTGAATTAGTATTTGTAAAGATCCTGAAACATCTACCACTAAGTGCAACAAAATTTGTTTTATTGAAAAAATGTAAGTATTTTTTGCTTCAATTTACAAATTAGTTTCATCTTTGATCAACGTATCTAACCAGTAATTAGAGCTGGTGTTACTCACAAAAAGCAAGCTAAGAAGCAAATATTTTCCGTGGCAATTTGCCTAATGTCTAGCTAAGCAAGTGGCAGAATCTGGTATTTGAACCCAGGATATGCAGCTCCAAATCGAATAGCTTTCTCCTTTACCATGCTGACTAGGGGTAGTGCTTTGATCACCTGTTTGGTCATTGATAAGTATCAGTGTGTGTAACACCTCTGTCTATCCACATACTGAAAGATAAATTGATTGATTCTCCTATTACTGACATTGTTGCAGTCTAAGTGGGCTTGTCAGCAATTAACTCCCACGTAGGAGAAAATAATGTGAAACCTGTAAGAAGTCTGGGAATGAGGATGAGTAAACACTGAAATAACCTAGCTCAATTATACTTACAGATATGCTTCTTGCCATATTGCTCAATAGGATAAAGATTATTTTGAGTTTCCTGTGTGAGATCTTTCCATAGATGAATTTGGATGCTATGCCTTCAGTTAGATTATAAGACCCTCAGTGGCACTAAAACAAAGACTTCTTCCAAAGTGAAGGCTCCTCCATCTGAGCTTTCTTATCACCGACCTCAAGGTGCAAAGCCAGTAGTTCTTACTGAAGACCGAAACCACCCACCATCCTCCCTGGTTAATTATAAAAGAAGTGTTATTATAAAAATCTCCAGTTCTTGCTGAGACAGCTGTTGACCTAATTTGTATACAAATGTGACACTCTGAACCTTTCTGCTTTAGTATTTTATAGCACAAGCCAGTGACTATATTCAGTAATTCAGGCCAGGTGCGTTGGCTCCTGTCTGTAATTCCAGCACTTTGAGGCCAAGGCGGGAGAATGAGTTGAGCCCAGGAGACTGAGACCAGCCAGCGCAACACAGTGAGACACCGTCTCTAGAAAAAAATAGAAAAAAGTTAGCCAGATGCACGCCTGTAGTCCCAGCTACCCAGGAGGCTGTAGTGGGAGGATTGCTTGAGCTCAGGAGCTGGAGGCTGCAGTGACCCATGATCCCACCACTGCGCTCTAGCCTGGGAAACAGAATGATAACCCTGTCTCAAAAAAACAAGCAAGCAAGCAAACAAACAAACAAAAACCCCTAAAAAGAGTAACTGGATTGTGGTTGAACGCTTGTGGTGATGAGTATGTCATTTACCCTGATGTAATTATTACACATTATATGCCTGTATCAAAATAGCTCATATATCCCATAAACATACACCTACTATGTACCCACAAAAATTAAAAAAGCGCCTCTTCGGTACACTCGGTAAACCACCCGTATTAGAATGTAAGACAGTTTTTTTTCCTTGAGAAAAGTGTCTGACAGAACCAAGGCTCGGTAAATCATAGTAATAATGTAATAAGATTAACAAACATCTACTGAGCGTTAAATACGTGGCAGACACTGTGCTATGCACTTTATATGCATTATCCAAATTAATTCTCGGCAATCCCAGGAATTCCCATCACCGGGGTTTACGGAAGAGGAAATGGTGGTTCACTGCAATTTCCGAATGTCCCATACTAGAGTGGACCAGCAACCAGGGTCGCAGATCCCAAACTCTGGGATCTTCACCATTTCACCTAATCGCCTTAGAGACCTCCCAGCAAAGGGTCTAAGAACGAATGCTCCAGAAAACAGGTCTGGGTCACGCGTGCCTTCTCCCCTTTCCACTGGGCTCGATACGGGGGCACAGAGCGACTCCGGAGTGGGGGGCTGCGGTTATTTCATTAGAAAAGCTCTGGAGCCCCGGAGCCCTTCGCCTGAGGCGCACTTGCCCTGCAAGCCCTTCTTGAAGGCGGCGGCGTCCAGGCGGTCCAGCGCGTCGAGCCGCGCCAGGCGCACCGAGATGCCCCCGAATCTGTCCAGTTCGCCCTGCAGCTCGCACGCTCCAACTGGGGGATTCCGCGTGTAACCCCGTGGGTCCATGACCTCCAGGTAATCCGCCGAAGGCCTAAGTCTCCAGGCCCGAGCAAGCACCGCGCGCCAGGTGCCCGAGCTTAACAGCGGCCGCATTTCCACGCAGTCGCCTTCGCCCGCAGCCCTTTTGACCCCTCCGCGCTCTAGAGCGAAGCTCGCGGCCGTACATTTTAGAAGAGTGCCATCATTTCGCTCTCAGAGCTGGGCTGGGTTACCGTTCTGCTGAGCTACGCCAAGGAGACCGCGAAGTCGGCCACCGGCCACTCTCGACAATTTGCCCCGCTCCAGCTAAGCTGGGAAAACCTCCTCCCCCACCGCCACACACTTATTTGGTAGTTTAAGTCAACAGAGGTTGATTTAGAGATGGAAAAGCCGGGAGGAGATGCAAAAACGTCCCGTTTTTCAGGAATTTGCAATCTAACTGGCAGTTCCGTTTCCGGAACGTATCTTCTATTGCAGACCCCAGAATCCTCGCAGCCGTTCCAAAGACTGCTGGTTTTGAAAACGCTCGGTCCCTCCCATCACGCTGACGCCACTGCGCTCCACTCAGGGGATTACGGCGCAGGGGCGGAGCCTCGCTAATTTCTGCCCCGGAAGTTTTTCTCTGGGTTGAAGCGCGCACCTTGAGCCGGCTTTGCTACTTCTTCGTACACGCTGCCCGCTGATCATGTCTTCCAAGAAGAACAGAAAGCGGCTGAACCAAAGCGCGGAAAATGGTTCGCCCTTGCCCTCTGCTGCTTCCTCCAGTGCGGGGGCGCGGACTCCTACTGGGTCAGACTTCGCGGCGGCCGCCGGGACCCTGACGGTGACCAACTTCTTAGAAAAGGGTAAAGAATTCCGGGAGGGAGGTTAGAGGCAGAGGGGGCGCAACCTGAGGGGAGGGAGACTCAGTGGTGCTGACTTGGGGTTCAGAGACTTTTGAAAGTTGGGCGTGACATAGGTCTGAGAGCGACAGAGAAGCATGTAAAACTTATGTTTGTAAGAAGCATGCAACCGTAGCCACGCCTGCACTGGAGAAGTTAGGCTGAGATGGTTTATCCGTGTCTGAGGCGTCTCTTTTGTAAATTGTGTTGAATTTTTTTTTTTTTTTTTGAGATGGAGTTTCGCCCTTGTTACCCAGGCTGTAGTGCAATGGCGCGATCTCGGCTCACCGCAACCTCCGCCTCCTGGGTTCAGGCAATTCTCCTGCCTCAGCCTCCTGAGTAGCTGGCATTACAGGCACGCGCCCCCATGCCCAGCTAATTTTTTTAGTATTTTTAGTAGAGACGGGGTTTCACCCTGTTGACCAGGATGGTCTCGATCTCTTGACCTCGTGATCCACCCGCCTCGGCCTCCCAAAGTGCTGGGATTACAGGCTTGAGCCACTGTGCCCTGCCTAATTGTGTTGAATTTTTAAGTTGCCCTTGAAATGCTTTGTCTCATTTAACATTAACGACATAATTAATTGCAAAATTGTTCATAACTAGCGAACATGGAATACTTATCCTAAAAAACTAAATAACCAGTAAAAATGTGGATCATTCTCCCTTTAGGAGTGTGATTTATAGCATTTTCTTCCAGTACTGCACAGGTTATGATATTTAATAACTGCTAGTAACTTCACACTAGTGTTAGCAGTATATTTATCTCGTATAATTTCTGCAGAAGTTGTGACCGATGGGAATAGTAATGCCCGTTTTATAGAGGAAGAAAAGTTAACGTGATTCCATTTAGGTTACACAGATGCTAAGTGGCAGAGCGATATTTGAATCCAGTTGTGTTTTACTTCAAAGCCATTGTTCTAGATGACAGCTCCCTTTATTTGGGAGAACGAATTTATATCTAAAAGTCTTGTAAATTGAATTATACATTGAAAATTTATATTTGAAATGTAATAGCTTTGAACAATGGACCAGACTAAACTAGTGACAAAATGTTTTATGTCTAATCAAACCTTAAAGACAACCTTAGAGTTCACATAGTGTTTTCACTCTTTCTTAGGTGTGGGAAGACAACTTGTTTCTGTCCTGAAGATTCAACTTCTTTATGAACTAGATCCTTTGTATTGACATCTAAACATGCTCATTTCTCTTCCGTCTTAAATCAGATCAAAAGCTCCACATTTTCTTCCTACAACCATCTCTGTCCATTGCCAAACTTCTTAAAGGGGTCTCTGCTGCCTCATCACTTATATACTCCCTCGTTAGCCTATTCTCTTTGACTTCCACCCTATCATTCCATGGAAACTGTTATGGTGTGGTCTCCGAGCAGCTCCATGTTGATAAACCTTACTTGACCACAGCAGTTTTGGGTATTATTGACCATTTCCTTCTTCTTGAAACACTTTACTTCTTATGTATTGTCAGACTTTCCTAGTTTTCTCCATCTTTATTGGTACTTCATTTTCTTTAGCAGACAGATCCTCTTCCCTTGACCATTAAATGTTGAAATTCGTCAATTCTTAGTTCAAAACATTTTTTCCCCTCTCAATAAATCCTCTCTCCTTGGCAAGTTTATCCAGTGCCCAGAGTTTCCTATCTATAGTCTCTTTAGTGTCAGATTTATATTTGTAAATCTTTTGTTTTTGTGCCTTAATATAGTTATCTTTTAGCCCAATGCTTCTCAAGCTCTCTGTGGTGAAGGCTTTAAAATGTACCTTAGGTCACAGATCAGCACTTTTGAAAAATACAGTAAAAATTATTTTCTAGAAAAGTAAGTTAGGAAAATTTGTTATTGAACATGTGAAATTACTCTGTAAATTTCAATAAAAGCTTCTAAATGCTTATTCTCTTGATTTGTACTTATCTTGTCATGAAGCAGTAACAAATTGTTTGTGGGTCACATTTTGAATAGCACTGTGAAATAACTCTTCTCATGGGTATCTCAAAGATACTTCAGGACTAACTTCAAGAGCCTGTATTTCCTCCAACAAAAAAACTCTGTTCAGTTTTTCCCATTGTGAAATTCATCCATGACACCTCCCTGTCCCCCAATCTCACATACCTAGTCCACCAATAAATCATGTTTATCATCTAAATATGTTCCATATTCCTCTTTTACACACCATTCCCACTGTTTCTACCTTAATTTCAGACCCATTATCTCTCACCTAGACTGCTACCACAGCCTTTTAACTGATTTTCCTGCTTCCAATTTTACCCCTTTCCTTATTCCTTTTCCACTGTGCAGCCAGAATGATCTTTTAAGATGAAGATCCTGTTACAACACTGCTTTTCTTTTCTTTTCTTTTTTTTTTTTTTTTTTTTTTGAGATGGAGTTTTGCTCTTGTTACCCAGGCTGGAGTGCAATGGCGCAATGTCGGCTCACTGCAACCTCTGCCTCCTGGGTTCAGGCAATTCTCCTGCCTCAGCCTCCTGAGTAGCTGCGATTACAGGCATGCGCCACCATGCCCAGCTAATTTTTTTGTATTTTTAGTAGAGACGGGGTTTCACACCATGTTGACCAGGATGGTCTCAATCTCTTGACCTCCTGATCCACCCGCCTCGGCCTCCCAAAGTGCTGGGATTACAGGCTTGAGCCACCGCGCCCGACACAACACTGCTTTTCATCCGTCTCTGGGCTCCCATTGCTGTCAGAGTAATGACCAGCATCTTGATGTAACCTATTGCACTATTGCCCTGGGTGGTCTTGACCGTCTTTTCTTTCTTTCTTTCTTTTTTTTTTTTTTGAGACAGAGTTTCGCTCTTGTTACCAAGGTTGGAGTGCAATGGCACGATCTCGGCTCACCGCAACCTCCGCCTCCTGGGTTCAGGCAATTCTCCTGCCTCAGCCTCCTGAGTAGTTGGGATTACAGGCACGTGCTACCATGCCCAGCTAATTTTTTGTATTTTTAGTAGAGACGGGGTTTCACTGTGTTGACCAGGATGGTCTCGATCTCTCGACCTCGTGATCCACCCGCCTCGGCCTCCCAAAGTGCTGGGATTACAGGCTTGAGCCACCGCGCCCGGCTTCACCGTCTTTTCATGGCTTTCCCCATGTCTTCTCTACTCTGCCTGTGCTCTCCGGAGGATACGCCATATCCCCTTCTGCCCAGGAACTCTGTACGTGCTGTTCTCTTTGCTGGGAATTATCTTTTTCTTTTCTTCATTTAGTTAGTTTCTACTTTTCTTTCAGATCTGATTTTAATATCACTTCCTTTGAGAAACATTCTCTTATTTGAAATTATCAGATCCCACATTATAGACTCTCCTAGCATTCTAACTTATTTTTTCATTGTATTAATATTAGTTTCTAATTTTGCAGCTGTTCACTCATTGTTTAATAACTCACTCATCCTTCAAGGCCATAAACTCTTGAGGCCAAGGACTTATGAATAAAAGTGCCTGACATAGTGTCTGCCGTATTAGTAGGCACATAGTATGTATTTGCTGGATGAATAACTAAAGGGTGGATGGTTGTTTGAAATTATCTTTACTATCTTGTTAGTTAATCTGATACTTAAGGTGCTCAATAAATATGAAGGTAGTTAATGGAGAAATTAGATGTTGACATATTTTTAAAGTATTGGAGGAGTGAGGTGAGAAGGGAACTGTATGGACAACTTGAGTAGACCTGTGTAGTGTAAGCAGAGAATACAGTGGTGGTGTTTTGGAAAATGAGACCAGTCAATGGGAACTTGAACATGATTACCATTGAAAGAGAAGTGTGGCGATATTTAGGGAAACCTGTGATACATTGCTAAATCCTAGGGCATGGAGAATGTGTCAGATAGGGTGGCAGGAGAAGAAGAAAATTAACGTCTTGTGGGGGAGTGAGAACACTTGTTTGGTAATTGTCAAGAGGGAAAGTTAGTTCACAGGTTTAGGAGGAAAACGGCAGGAACTGAATATTATGAGATCATCTAACAGCAGTATGCTTTACTGTTAATGACCAGCAAGCTATGTAAGAGACCTAATGCTCATTGGAAGGTTGAATTTCTGTCCTGCTTCTCATATTATGCAGTATGTGTTAATTTTGTTTTATACCAGTGCTGTTCATCTTAGCTCTGTGAGATGCCTTGTTTTTCTAGATTTGCACCTCTTATAAGAAGGAAAAGAGACATGTTGGGAGGTTATTTTGTAGTGACAGAATAATGTAAATCAAATTTATACCTTATGGTTTTGCTTTCATTGACTTAATTTCATTACAAAATGTCTGTTTCTTCTGATTATTAAGGGAAACTTAGGTAGAGCTCTGTGATTATGGTATATATGTTTACAATAAATTTTATAATTAGGTTGTGACTTTTCAAATCTTTTTAAAAAAATTTTTATATTTTATTGCACTTTAAGTTCCGAGTACATGTGCAGAACATGCAGGATTGTTGCACAGATACATACATGGCAATGTGGTTTGCTGCCTCCATCCCTGTCACCTATATCTGGCATTTCTCCCCATGCTATCTCTTCACAACTCCCTACCCCCTGCTGTCATTCCCCTAGTCTCCCCCAATAGACCCCAGTGTGTGATGCTCCCCTCCCTGTGTCCATGTGTTCTCATTGTT